CAGCTCAACCCTCTACACCAGTACAATTTTCCCCACAGGAGTCGCGGGGCTAGGCGGAGGTGTGTGTGTGGGAGGGGGGTAAGGGAAGGAGGGGTGCGGTGGAAGAGGATGCCGGCGAGTTGCACACGGCTTGTGAGGAGGGGGGGGTGCGGCGGCGGCGAGGCGAGGAGGGTTTTGCGTTTTGCGCGGGCGCGTAATGGTAGCGGGACACGGCTCGGCTGCAGGGCGGTTGGGGGGGTCTACGGCACGTGTGCAGGGCGGAGGCTCGTAGGGGGCGCCAATCGACGCGGGCGGCAGCGCCGCGCGGCGAGCCACTTGGCACCCGCCGTCGGGACAGGCGGGATGGGCCAATCGGGACGCGACGAACGCCAATTTCTCGCCAATCGCGCGGCTTGATCCGCCGCCATGCCCCGCTTTTGGGCGCATTGACGCGCGCCTGTTTTTTCCTGAATTCCACTTCGCCCCGCCCCCCCCTCCTCGCGCGCCCCGCTGCACCGCACCGTCGCGCCACGTTTTGTCGACATTCTACATTCGACATTTGACATTCGACATTCGACATTCGACATCTTCGTTAACCGCAGCAGCAAGCATTTCTAAAGTCATCGCCACTCCTTCATTACAGATTGCTCCCTCTCCAACTCCCAACCCGCTCTATCTCGCATCATTTCCTGTGCCGAAGAAACAACTGTCGCCCAGCCTTAAATACTGTACCTACCCACTATAGCCTAACACTTCCTCCCCTCAACGTCCAACCCCTCGACATCCCGCCCCTCACGGCATTCGCGCGTCCTGCGTAGATGAGTACCCACCCGTTCTCTGCAACGGAATGCTCCCCCCGCTGGCTGCCCATTCAATATAGTTATCGCTTTCCGCAGCCTCGTACTCGTCAATCAACTCCTGCACAACCTCCCTACTTTCGTCAAACTCGTCCAGTCCACCTGAGAAAGGCTTGGTCCTCTTATAAGGCTCTAAGAACGCGTTCCGTTTTCTGAGCTTGTCGTACTGCGCCACTGTGCGCTTGAAAAGCGTCCGGATGCTCGTGTGATTCGCAAGCATTAGCCCAGAGACCCGGTTCTCCGTCTTGAGGTACGGGCTCCGTCTCGAGAGCGCCACCTGCACAGATGCAGGGCCCCACCGGATGAATTCTGCAAGCCCGCGCTCGCGGATCCTTTGCAAGCTCTTGTGCACTTGCGTCGGGTCCACTTCCCCTTGAATCACATTTAAAATCGACATGTACATCCCATTTCGCGTCGGCACTGACACCATCTGATTCTTCGATTGCAACAGCCGCCTCATCACATCTAGCACGGTTGTCTTCCGTACCTTGGACCCCGAAGTACGGTTTCCGTCTAGTACGGTGAGAGGCGTGTACCCAGTCAAGAGGAAGTGGCATGTCGGCGTCGGGATGAGAGAGGCCGTCAGACCCACCAAGTCGTTGTTCATGTAGCCAGGGTAGCGGAGCGTGCTCGTGCTTGCTGCCATCACGGTTGACACCAGCGAATTCACTTGTTGAAAAGTAGGATTCTCCACATGTAATCTATCTTCCGCCACCTTGTTTAGCGCCGTGTTGTCAAGCACCACCACGCTGTCCGCGTTGAGGGTCAGTCGCTTCATCGCAAGCAGCGCGTTATACGGTTGCACGACGACATCGGATCCCTCCTGTTGATTGGGAAACACAGAGTAGGTCTGAATGAGCTTTTTCGGGAAGCGGTCATTCAGACATTCCAGAAGGTAGGATCCTAACCCAGAGCCAGTGCCACCGGCGACGGAGTGGCATAGAGAAAAGCCCTCCAAGGAGTCGCTGCCGTCGGCTTCGCGCTCTATCATCTCCATAAGCTCTTCCTCTCTCTCTTGGCCTTGCTGATATCCAGACCCCCAGTTATTGCCCGCACCTCCCCCTGTGGGAGCAACGAAGATGTTTTCGGGGTTGTACAGGTTACGGTACTGGGAGGTTTGAATGGTGTTGATAACGCGCGGTTCAAGGTCGATGAGGAGGGCGCGAGGAATGTACTGGTCATCATCGGCTTGATAGAAGAATACATCCTTTCTGTCACCGGCGCCCTCTGTCGCAAACTCCTCGACGATCCCGTTGGGCTGAATGCCGTGCTCGGCGCAAAGTTGCTTCCAGAATTCCGTCCCAACTTGGTTCCCACATTGCCCTACCTGCACGGTGATTACTTCCCTCATGGTGAAGACATGCACAAACGGTTGAGAGAATGGATTTCCCGACAGAAAATGGGAGTGGAGCCGATACACTGACCGAAAGGCCTAAGCGCGACCGATTTATTCCGAGAGAGAAGAAGAGAGTCTCCCGCGCAATTTAAAAAGCATTTTTGATCGCTTAAAATTTTGATTTTCAACTACTTTTCGGATATTGGGATCGCTTTGCATTCTGATTGGCCGTACTTTAACAAGGAGTGCGTGCCTGTACACGTGTACAGTCCTTTGCTTTGCGTAGTATCATACTCCGGAGGATGACATCAAGAGCCACTGCCGCAATGTCGACGCACTGAGAGAGCATGCGGGCGTTTCCTCCACAGAGGCCAGCGCTGTAGCTGATGCCACCTTCTCCAGGCCTGACACATTACATTCGCCGTGCGCTAAGCTTAAGGCGCGCTCTTGTCGCGAAGTCCTTTCTTCTTAAAGGTGCGCGCTTGCCCCACTGCACGCGCGCGCCATCATGGGCATCTTGTTTTCTCAGTTGTGGAGACGGATATCTGGCTTCCGCGAAGTCAAGGTATGTGTGCGCGTCCTTGGCAGACAGACAACTTGGTTTGTTTCTCGTAGAGGTTTTTCCCTCCTGCATGCGATTCATGCGCTTTTCTAACTACCATTATCGATTAAAACGTGACTGCGAACGTGCTTGCCTCAACAGATTTGCATGATAGGCCTGGATGCCGCCGGTAAGACTACAATTCTGTACAAGCTGCATTTGGGCGAGGTAGTATCTACCTATCCCACAATAGGCTCCAACGTAGAGGAGGTGACATATCGAAACATGCGATTCCAAGTATGGGATTTAGGCGGCCAAGAGGTGTTGCGGCAAACATGGAAGACCTACTTTATCAATACCCATGCGTTGATCATGGTAGTCGACTCGGCCGATTCGAAGAGGCTCGACCTCGCACGAAAGGAACTGCATGCGGTACTAGATAGTGACGAGCTGCGAGATAGCTGCGTCTTGATCCTCGCAAACAAGCAAGATCTCAAGGAGGCCGTGGGGCCGGCCGAGCTTTCGGAAGCCCTCGCTTTGCACACCATTCGCACTCACGACTGGCACATACAGGCGTGTAGCGCAATGAAAGGCGAAGGGTTGTATGACGGGCTGGATTGGATTTCGAAGCATGTGCGGCAAGATTGAAGTGAGGCATTATAGATAGTGGCTTTTGGAATGCCGGAGACAACTATTGTCGGCGATGTCACGACGGGTTTATCTGCGTGCAAAACTCTGTATCTCGTAGCCGCTAGCCCATAATTATGCGTCACCCGTGAAGGCGGCGCGTGCTTCGACGCTTAGCCAGGTTGGCTGATGCCGGCGAAGGGATCGGCCTCGTTTTTGCTTCCATTCTTCGGCCCCTCTGTGCCTCCAGCGATGTCAACGTTCTTAGCAGCAGTTCCTGCAGTGTCCTTGCCAGCCTTACGATTCTCAAAGTAGAGTTGCAATGTAAAGTTTAGGAAATTTTTATCCCAGTTTGTGTAGAACTTTCCTTCGCCCTTGTCGATCGGTTGATTAGGAATTCTAAACGCCACCGTCTCATATGGTTCTGCAGCAAACAGTAAGTACTGATACTTTCCATTTGGCTTTTCCCTTTTCTGCTCGAATGCACTCATAAAGCGATGTCTTGGCTGCAACCCTTCTGTGATTTCGGGGTACCGAATCTGAAACAGCAAGCTAAATTGCTTTGTATTAGGGTCCCGTTGCTTTGTAATTTGATACCCCGGTCTCCCAATTTTCATCCTCCGCCGCATAGTCGCTCTTGCTGTAGCCGCAATCGGGGCCCTTGGTTTCGCAGCTTGCTTCTTCGACTCCAACGCAGCGCGCCGCCGTAAATTTCCCTGGTGTCTCCGACCCTGAGCGTGCGCAAGGTAGTTTCCCTCATTGCCGTGAAGAGTCAGACACAGCTTACATTCGTATGTGCCGAGGTGATTGCGCATAAAGTACGGATCATTCTTCAGGTCAACCGTTTCCATCGCCAGCTCCCGAAGCCGCTCCTTCCGCGCCAAGTTCTCATGCTCCTTCGAAGCTACCCCACCGCCGCCCGTCTTGGCGCCCCAATCCCTGTACGCCATGGTAAAGTGGTCAAAAGTAAAGAGTGAACAGAACTGCCAGAATTGCCTTCAGCTGTAAATGTGCTATCGTTGGTTCTCCGTAGAGTGGTGGTAGATGGAGACCAGAGACACTTGAAGAAGGATGGGATTTCGACTCTTTGGCTCTTGTACCGACACTCTGAAGCCCTACGTCAAGGGCTCCTCTTGTGAAGAAGAAGAATGAAGTAACAACGACGTGGGAGAGCCTTGCCCAGAATGATTCAGTCACAACCCAGACAACCTGTATCAGAGAGGTTCTTTTGGTACAGTTCCAATGGCTAGTCTAGGCCGACTTCTTTTCGGGAAATGGAAGTTACAAGCGCATTGGAATAGACAATTGCTTCAGGGAACCGCTTCTTCGCATCGTCATCGAGGACATGTTGTCCTACTATGACACATACGTATCACAATATCACTATCTTACACGTGTGCACGTGGATAACGTGTTGTTTGCAATGCATTTGACACTTCTTAATTAAAAGAAGTGTCAAATGCATTGCAAACAACACGTTAAATAAAAGTTAAAATATATCGTCTTCGTATTCGCATAGAAACACTGCCTACACTGTATGCAGGTTTCCATGCAGTATAAATAACAGTGGGCAAGAGCGCAGTGCACCTCTCTCCCCTTTTCTGCATTATCACAGAGGAAACGCAATGCTCTCATGACGCGGTTATCAAAGACACGATCTTCCTTGGCGACTCTGTCGTCATCACGAGCCGCGGTCGTGCCATAGCCGGATACAAAGTTTTGCCATCCAATCATGAGATGAGGGTCTGAACTCCAGCATCCAAATCTGGTCGCCCAATCCCCAAATCGGTAAGCTATCTACTTTTTGTCTCCATGTAGTCCTCCTCCTAGGACTCTCGTCGTTGATGTTACTTCTTTGACCTAGGGATTGTCCACTCTCAAATGAAACAGAAAAGGCTGCGTTGGAAAAGCAGTGTGATTCTCATCACGAATGGGTATTCAAACGCCCGTTGCTTCATCCGCTGTAGTTCGGCATTTTCTTGGGTTGACCGAGAGCCGCTTTCTAAGCCTTCTGTGGAGTTTGTTGAGCGGCGTTCGATGCGGGTTCATTATGAGATCTGAGACGTGGTGTGTGTGTAGCAAACGAGCTATCTTGAATACAGAATACTGACCGCTCTGTTTTCTGTCTTGCAGCACTTCATGCTTTCTTGGGCCAGCAGGCGGTAGTTTTTCAACTCCTTTGATTGAGATTATGTCAAAAGAACCGGAAGTGAGTTCGGAAAGATGGGTCACGAGAAGGTCGCACTTGCAAGTAAACAAGACAGAAGTTCTTCCCGTCGTCTTCAAATCGCGCAAAGTCCAACGTGCGGAACAGGACACAGGCCCCGTTCCACCGGCCTTTCCCGCGTCTGAAATATACTTGCCGGACTGCTTAGACGTAATCAAGAGCTGGCTCATGACCAATATTGCCAAAATGCAGAGAGTCGGGGCCATGAATGTGAAGCCGGGGTCGCTGGAGGCACCTGAAGTCTTACGAACTGGAAAGTACAGGCTGACTGTATGGTTTGAACCTACAGCGGCGAGTTTTGCGCTCATGCTCCCGAAGAGCTCGCAATCCTCGAGTGGACGGAATGAGGACAACGGAAGAGATGTTTCTCACGCGCAAGAGTACCAAGGTTACACTCCCACGCCACAGACACTGCATGTCGTCGGTGAACTTGATGACGATCATGAGAACAGATAGCAATATGCCTGCGCTGCGTACTCGGAAGTCTCAAAGTGACATGAGAGTCAAAGTATTTATCCTTTGGGAGATTTCGCCCACCTAAACGCAACATTATCTCTAATCCTTTAACCAGCGCGCTTAGACCGTATACACACTTCTCGCGACATGGGGGTGACTGTCTATGTGTTCGCATTCAACGACAAAATGAAGTTCAGAAGGTGTTTTAGAGTAGTCATGGGTACCCACCTATGTTAATTCATGCAATATGAGGTCAGTGTTCAGTCCTGATTAATGTTAGCTCTAAAGAAAAGAAGGTCCGGAGATGGGGCGTCCGCAGCCATAGCGTGGTCTGCCTCAATGTAAATCCTAGTTGAGTCGGCGACGTAGTACACACTGCCCGGCTGGAGCGGCAAGCGCGACTCAGGCTTCTGCCTTTCACCCGACAGCACACCTATCCAACCCTGCCCGCCGATGACCATGATCATGCCTGGGCCCTTAGCTGCAGTGATTTCGTAGGTTGAACCCGACGGGACAACCGTCTTCGTCAACTGGAACTCTTCAACAGGAGGCTTGTACACGACCGAGCAGCCGTCCACCTTCTCCCCTGACATAATCTTGGGAGGATCATCTTTGTATGTCAGCATTTTGACCAGTGTGGAGACATCCTTGAATTTGGGAGTGAGCCCGGCGCGAACGACATTGTCACTGCACGCCATGATCTCGACGCACTGTCCCTTGAGATACGCGTGCGGCTCATTGGCTGCCATGAAGAAAGCTTGTCCCGGTGAAATTCGGATGTGGTTGAGCAGATATGCCGCAAAACAGCCAACATCACCGGGGTAGTAGCTGATGAGGCGTAGGAACAGATCGTCGGCGTCGGAGCGTTCGGAAGCCGTCTTGACCGCTATAACCGTGGCATCTAAAGCCGAAGCCACAGCCTCCTTCGAGGCTGACATGAGAGACGAAAAGACGACGTGAATAGCGGCGCGACGGTCCTCTGACGACGAAGAGTTGCTCAGCGCGTCAAGCGAGGCCTTCCCGCCGACAAGCGCGGCCAACTCTGAACGCAGCTCCAAATCGGCGAGAATGTCCGCGACGGGACGGAAGTTGCACATCCCTTCAAAGTCTTTTGTGGACAAGCGAGATGAAAAAATGGGCACGGGAGATGGGGTCAGCATCAAACGCGAATCGAACCGGGCATCTGAGAAACGTGAGGACAAGATGACTCACCCGTTAGCGCCACGGACATCTCCGGCTTATGGTTATCATCCTTGTATGCGTGTGGATTGTCGCTGTGAAGCCGCTCGGCAAGCTGCTTATCTGGATGGGCCTGGATGCTGAGCGGGCTAGCCACGCTGAGGATCTTGAGCAAGTACGGCAGGTTGGGCTGCTCCCCGCCCGCGACGAGAAAGTCGGCGAGCGAAGCATGGCTGTGGCGGAGGAGGGCCGGGCCGCTGGGATGCGTGCCAATCCAGATCTCCGCGTATGGGCGCGTGGGGTCGACGACGGCGCCGGCGGAGTAGGCGTGCATGCGGGCGACGAGGCAATCAGCGTCGGCGGGGGCGATGCCCCACGCATAGTTCTGCACAGCCGGGATGAGAGGCACGAGCTGGCGGGAGAGGGGGAGGGCGGCATTCGCCGTTGCCCGCCATCCGGGAGGGGGCGGAGGGCGGGGCGGGCGCCAGCCCACGGGGGGAGGGGGGGAGGGTGGGAGGGGCCCCGGGGCGGGGGGGGGGGGGGGGGAAGGGAAGGCGTCGGGCGGAGGAGGGTCGGGGTGTTGTAGGACAGAGAGTGTTGTAGGACAGAGAGATTGATGACGACGCGATGGAGGAGGCAGCGAGTTGAAAGTCGGTAAATGGAGAAATTAGCACCGGCTATCTGGGCGGGCCAGATTGGGGCCTTTGTATGAGAGAAGGTTGCAAAAAATCTTAATGTTGAGTTGTGATTGGATGGAAATGCCACCGTTGCCAGTGAATTCAATGTGCCTTCACGTTGCGACACGCATTGCGGCATCTGTGATCTTTGCACCCCCCGGGCACCCCCCGGGCACATGTTGACATGTGCTGACATCATTGTATGTGCTGTGGGAGAACGGGAACGATGAGGTTAGTAGTAGCCGCGCTCGTCGCGCGCAGCGGCGGGGGAAAGGAGTCGCGAGAGTGAGGGGGACGGGGATACTTCGGACGGAGAGTCTAGCGACTTTTTGCAGGCACTGTCAGAGGGTAGCAAGTTACCCCCGAGGGCCGGCCGGGATACCGCCCTCGGACTTTTAATATCGCCGGATTTCCCGCCGGCGCGTCGCCCGGATAATTTTCCCTTTTTTCCAGATTTAGGGCTAACCACATAAACTTCAATTTCTATATTCCCACATGTGCAGCAAATGCCCCTTTGTCTCCTTCCTCTTCACACCGCTTCTTTATACAAGTTTGTATGTGCCGAGGAAAACAGTGAACGCTCGGTTAGTTCCACGCCCAAATAAGCCCCACTCGGCTCACTCGCTCAAACGTCTCCGCGAGCCACAAACATCACACCAATCCCGTCCGCCGAAGACGCCGTGCTCCTCCAAACGCTATCCCCCAGTGAAATACGCCACCTTCGTCCAATCCCTGCCATCACCCCCTCTCCCTCTTCGCCCTCCAAAACGGCCTTTCCCTGCTCCCCCTGTCCCACTCTCTCATCCCTTCGCGATACATCTCCATCCGCATCTCATCAACTTCCGCTGCTACCTCATCAACAACTTCCACCCCTGCGCACCCCACCCTAACCATCTCAACCAGCTCGTCGTGCAGACGTCCTTCTGCGAACCCACGCTCTGGTGGCCGCGGCCTCTCCCCCACAAACCGCTCGCAAAACCCCTCCACCTCTCCAACTAAAACTTCCAGCATCGTCTCATCCCGATTCACACGAAACGTCCTTGTCCCCCCCAGCACGCTGTGCCAGACCACGTCTGCCGCTCTATACTGCTCCCCACAAACTAGCATGCTCACCTGCGCCTCCAGAAAGCTCACCACATCAAGCCTTCTTCTTGGCTTCAACACCCCAAAATCGCACCCCGACCCGCTTCCAGAGAACGGCATCTCTGTGTGCACCAGAGCTAGAGCATCACCCTGCCTTCCCCATGCCCAAAAATCTTCCTTCCGTCTTCGTAGAACACATCCAATTGGCGCCGCCGCCATTATCTGACCACCTCCGACTTTCCCTACTACGAGTCCCATTTCTCGAATCTGAATTGGAAATATCCACTGAGCTCGCCCACTGTACTCTCGATCAAATTTGTCTTTAGACGCCACGAGGTAGCTCAAAACTGCATTTGGGATATGATTCTTGTGATGCTCCTCAGCAAAAGAAGGTTTCTTGCCGCTTCCTTCCTGAAAAAACGACTGCCACATTTCTAGCACATGTTTATGTCCGCGGTGCGTTTGAGGCATCAAATCGCCAAGCTTTGACGCAACATCGTCTTCACCAAACCCGAGCACTTTCCAAATAGTATCTGCGCGTATGGGAAAGAGACTACGTGAAAGAGCAAACGCTTTCCCGTCTTGCCTTAACAACTGTAGCTGATCAGGAGTCTCAACATGCAGCGCCGCAGTCTCAGGCAATTCGATGAAAGAAGGGTGCGCGCGCATAGCTTCCCACTGCAATGCGCGCCATGACGCATTTCGTAGCTTGGCAGAGCGCCTCAGACGCAATGAAGCGTGCCAAGCCACGACGTCATGGGCCGCTCGCAAAGACGCAGGGGCTTCGACATCTAAAGCACCGGATTCAACAGAGTTCTGAAATTGACGGTGGGCGGCAGTTGCAGCCCCGCACAACGTCCGCAAAGTTCCCGTCGGTCTCAGCAATCGCGCCAGTTGTTGGGACGTCGTTGATTCGTCCCTTACCGCTTCTATCGTTCGCTCCAGATGTGACATTCCCGGCAAAGAACGTCGGACATTTGCCTGTATCGCCAGGCACTCCTTTCTCAAAGACAACAGCACCTCTTCGATAGAGGGATAATCTGGAGGATGACCGCTTTGCAAATCGACGTAGACAGTCCGTAGTTGCTTGAGAAACAGCGCTAGTCGATTTTCGCTGATATTTCTGTGCTTGGTATCAGCATTGAATTCAACAGGTAGATCTGCCGATGAATTTGGATTTGTGACCGCGACGCATTGAAAGCGTATGTTGCTAACGTGTGATTGAGAACAAATGCTCACCTTCCTGATTTTTGAAAAGACTCTCAATGGTGGTCCAATGACGAAAGCCCTGCGCTCATACTGCATTGAACTCAGGACGCCCTTCCTGATGCTTGCCAAGTCGTTCTTGTGGTGAGCATTTAGAAGAACAACGTTTCCGCTGCTGCAGAATGGACAACTCTCGTTTGCAGAGCGATGGAGATACCGAGGTTGACAACGCGTACAGTACTTGTGTGTTTTGCTCCGTTTACAAAAAGCGACAAAAAACCAAGTTGGGTCAAATTTGTCGTCACAGCTGCCGGCTCGTTGGAATTCAAAATCTGCTGCTGTTTAGCAACGAACCATTTCGCAATCCCTCCTCATAGTTCATGAAGCCCATGCTTCCGTTCTTGATGCGACAACAGACTGCCCTTGTACCTCCCCGTGGTCATGGCAGCGAGCGTGGATTCTAGGTTGCCAGCCGTGCGGTACAGCCAACTCGTCGATGTTGTGGAAACGGTGTCTTTGCCGCTTGGAGACCTGTGCAATCGCTTATGGGATGCATCGCGAGGCTTTGATGCCGCACCAATTGCAGTGGGCACAACCCTGGCTTCCCTGCTCCAGGATGATCTTTTACCAGAACCGGCGCAAAGACTGGTCGCCATCTATGTATTATTTGACATGATTGTCGTGGGCCGCCCGAAGAATGATACCCCCTCCGCCACAGCGGTGGAACGGTTGATTGATTCTCCTTTGACCGTGATTCTATTTGGGCTCATTGAGAGGGGAGATGCTCGCCGCGCGGAGCAACTGTTCCTCACCCATTTATTAACGCATTCTCAGTCAAACGGTGGTGATGGGGCGGTCCCACAAATAGCAGCGGCACGCGCTATCACGCTTTGGGGTGCTTTAGAAAGTGCATTGCAGGGAGGAGCCTCGGTCCCGAACCGGAACATGTCATCCTTGCGTCAATTGTGGGCGGAAAGACATCCGGAACCTGCTCCCGTGCGTCTGCCACCTGCGAGTGCAACCGTTTCAGATCCTGATACCAAGTACGTGGATGAAACTAGTAATCTAGCTAAAGAGCTTCGCGAGGTTGTTTCCTTACAAGACTTCACGCCTTCTTTCACGAGAATACCACCGCCGTTCCTTCCCCTTGATGCCCAATGCAAAGAGCTGAGATGGATTGACCCTGAGCCGCTTCACGAAATCTTGTGGGACCCAGATATGGGAATAAGTGGCGAGCGAGGGAGCGAGGTAAGGGAGCTCATTGAGAAGGCTTGTAAATCCCCGCTCCCCGAAGCCGAACAACAGAAGCTTTTGGCCCAATTGGAGGAAGACCCCAAACTCGTCCATTTGTGTGGAATGACACCTCAAAAGTTACCGGACCTTGTACAAAATAACTCCGTCCTTGCTACAGAGTTATTGCTGAAGTTAGTTTCATCACAGCAGATGCCGCAATATTATTCAGCACTTACCAATATGGACGTGACTGTACATTCAATGAAGGTAGTTGAAGGCCTGACGAATTCTGTACAGCTGCCAACAGACTTTTTGAACACTTACATCAGTCACTGTATACGCTCTTGCGAAAGTATCCCTGAGAATGAGAAGTATGGACGAAATCATATGGTACGCTTTGTTTGTCTGTTCTTGAAAAGTCTGATGAGAAACAACATCATTGATGTGCAAGACTTGTTCGTTGAGATACAGGACTTCTGTATTGGACATAGTAGAATTCGAGAAGTGGCTGATCTGTTTAGATCGCTCAAGATGCACAGTGTCCAGCAATAGGCCCCGTTTTCCGAAACAGCCAAACAATATTAGAAGATGACTGAACATGCGGACAAGCAAAGTATTCGCACCTAGTTCCGTGCTGCTGCTGTTGTAAGATATTCTTTCGTGTGGTATCTTCATTCAACCTCCAGTCTTCAGTACTGTCGAAACGAAATATGTTTACACCATAGTCGTGAGCTTTCTCAGTACGGCAACGATTTGTAGACAGAAAGAGACGCATTTAAAGGAAAAGTGTGCCATGGAAAATAGTGAAAGTATCTGCTCTTGCGCAAACCAACAATAAATATACAGTTATGCACCCTGTGCATACTCGTAGTTGCCGTTTTGCGAAGTAGAGAAAAAGATTCTGCGAGCACATTCAGGAGTTTGAACAGCAGCCGCAGGCTGGGTGCATTCGAACACTATGACAAGTGATGAAACATGGTCATCCTCAAGATTATCCCTCTTCGATAGAGGGATAATCTGGAGGATGACCGCTTTGCAAATCGACGTAGACAGTCCGTAGTTGCTTGAGAAACAGCGCTAGTCGATTTTCGCTGATATTTCTGTGCTTGGTATCAGAGCATTGAATTCAACAGGTAGATCTGCCGATGAATTTGGATTTGTGACCGCGACGCATTGAAAGCGTATGTTGCTAACGTGTGATTGAGAACAAATGCTCACCTTCCTGATTTTTGAAAAGACTCTCAATGGTGGTCCAATGACGAAAGCCCTGCGCTCATACTGCATTGAACTCAGGACGCCCTTCCTGATGCTTGCCAAGTCGTTCTTGTGGTGAGCATTTAGAAGAACAACGTTTCCGCTGCTGCAGAATGGACAACTCTCGTTTGCAGAGCGATGGAGATATCGAGGTTGACAACGCGTACAGTAGTACTTGTGTGTTTTGCTCCGTTCACAAAAAGCGACAAAAAACAGGTTGGGTCAAATTTGTCATCACAGCTGCCGGCTCGTTGGAATTCAAAATCTGCTGCTGTTTAGCGACAAACCATTTCGCAATCCCTCCTCATAGTTCATGAAGCCCATGCTTCTGTTCTTGATGCGACAACAGACTGCCCTTGTACCTCCCCGTGGTCATGGCAGCGAGCGTGGATTCTAGGTTGCCAGCCGTGCGGTACAGCCAACTCGTCGATGTTGTGGAAACGGTGTCTTTGCCGCTTGGAGACCTGTGCAATCGCTTATGGGATGCATCGCGAGGCTTTGATGCCGCACCAATTGCAGTGGGCACAACCCTGGCTTCCCTGCTCCAGGATGATCTTTTACCAGAACCGGCGCAAAGACTGGTCGCCATCTATGTATTATTTGACATGATTGTCGTGGGCCGCCCGAAGAATGATACCCCCTCCGCCACAGCGGTGGAACGGTTGATTGATTCTCCTTTGACCGTGATTCTATTTGGGCTCATTGAGAGGGGAGATGCTCGCCGCGCGGAGCAACTGTTCCTCACCCATTTATTAACGCATTCTCAGTCAAACGGTGGTGATGGGGCGGTCCCACAAATAGCAGCGGCACGCGCTATCACGCTTTGGGGTGCTTTAGAAAGTGCATTGCAGGGAGGAGCCTCGGTCCCGAACCGGAACATGTCATCCTTGCGTCAATTGTGGGCGGAAAGACATCCGGAACCTGCTCCCGTGCGTCTGCCACCTGCGAGTGCAACCGTTTCAGATCCTGATACCAAGTACGTGGATGAAACTAGTAATCTAGCTAAAGAGCTTCGCGAGGTTGTTTCCTTACAAGACTTCACGCCTTCTTTCACGAGAATACCACCGCCGTTCCTTCCCCTTGATGCCCAATGCAAAGAGCTGAGATGGATTGACCCTGAGCCGCTTCACGAAATCTTGTGGGACCCAGATATGGGAATAAGTGGCGAGCGAGGGAGCGAGGTAAGGGAGCTCATTGAGAAGGCTTGTAAATCCCCGCTCCCCGAAGCCGAACAACAGAAGCTTTTGGCCCAATTGGAGGAAGACCCCAAACTCGTCCATTTGTGTGGAATGACACCTCAAAAGTTACCGGACCTTGTACAAAATAACTCCGTCCTTGCTACAGAGTTATTGCTGAAGTTAGTTTCATCACAGCAGATGCCGCAATATTATTCAGCACTTACCAATATGGACGTGACTGTACATTCAATGGAGGTATTTAAAGGCCTGACGAATTCTGTTCAGCTGCCAACAGACTTTTTGAACACTTACGTCAGTCACTGCATACGCTCTTGCGAAAGTATCCCTGAGAATGAGAAGTATGGACGAATTCGTATGGTACGCTTTGTCTGTGTCTTCTTGAAAAGTCTGATGAGAAACAACATCATTGATGTGCAAGACTTGTTCGTTGAGATACAGGACTTCTGTATTGGACATAGTAGAATTCGAGAAGTGGCTGATCTGTTTAGATCGCTCAAGATGCACAGTGTCCAGCAATAGGCCCCGTTTTCCGAAACAGCCAAACAATATTAGAAGATGACTGAACATGCGGACAAGCAAAGTATTCGCACCTAGTTCCGTGCTGCTGCTGTTGTAAGATATTCTTTCGTGTGGTATCTTCATTCAACCTCCAGTCTTCAGTACTGTCGAAACGAAATATGTTTACACCATAGTCGTGAGCTTTCTCAGTACGGCAACGATTTGTAGACAGAAAGAGACGCATTTAAAGGAAAAGTGTGCCATGGAAAATAGTGAAAGTATCTGCTCTTGCACAAACCAACAATAAATATACAGCTATGCACCCTGTGCAGATTCATAGTTGCCGTTTTGGCGAAGTAGAGGAAAAGATTCTGCGAGCATATTCGGGGGTTTGAACAGCAGCCGCAGGCTGGGTGCATACGAACACTACGACAAGTGATGAAACATGGCTGCTCTAAAGAGGATGTTAAATATCTACTACGAGCGTTGTACTGCTGTTGCCCTGCACTTCTAAAATCACTACACAGACCCACAACGTTACCTCTCTGTTCTGTTTTACGTTAACATGGTACCCGTCCTATCGCACTGCTCGGCACTGCTGCTGGGGTGAGCGTCACATATATGATGAAGACGCGACACAATAGGCATTGTTCGTTTACTTCACAAGCTTGTCTCGAGCGGCAGCACATGGCCGGTATCGAACGGCGCATCAATTGATAAAATGGCATGAGTTCCACATAAAGCACACACTTTCCCTTCACTTTCACCATGCTTGGTTGAAACTCCATGACCACAGCTGTGAACTAATGAACGATGTCCATGAGCTCGGTTTTCCTCTTGTCTCTTGATCCGCCAAGTTCGAGCAGTTTCGAGATCCTCTCGCAAACTACTGGTAACCGCGAGAGCTGAAATGGCATCACTCTTTGCTGAATTTGCCAATCGTTTATGCTCCTCGAGCGAATTCGCTACTGCAGCTTTCACCCGTTCTGTAGCGGACTCAAATGGCTGCATCGAAGTCAGAACATCTTCAATGTGCAGAAGGCCCTTGCTGCGTTCTACGACGCCGACTGGATCATTGCTCTTGCCTGCTACGAGGCATTGGAGTGACTTCTTCAAACCCTCAGGCATATCAGCTGGCCCCAACCTCCCAACCTTTGTTTCAGCCAATTTCACGTCGATTTCAACAGCTAGCGTTATCGCAGCCACATGCAGCTTCAGGGCTTGATACAAAAACACGCAAAGCCTGAGAAAGCCGCCGTTGGCACATGATCGAAGAATTGCACCAAGCGCGTCGTGAGTATCCTCAGACATATCAGTCTTTATGCATGGAGCGATAAGGCAGTCATAAGAGCGCTGTGCCTCGGCTTCATTACCAAACTCTGCATGCAGCTGAAACAGAAACGTAATCAAAATGCACCAGTCCTTGGAACGAGTCCCTCTGACTGAGTTTGAATTTCTTCTGCAGTTGTCGAACTTCCAAGACTGAAGGAGATCAAATAGGTACACGTTGACGAGAATGTAGACGGGGCGCATTTGTCTTCATCTTTCTCTCCACGTGCAACACGAGCGAGCCCTTGCACAACGGTGACGTGGTCGGCAATAGATACATCTTTCTTGAGACATCGAGCTATGGCAGTACTCACCTTTTGCGGAGCTTGCGGAATAAGTAAGTTTGCAATGCACTGTAACAACTGGCTCATTGTGTCATCGTCCTTTACGACAATAGCATCCTTCAGGAGAGATAGCGTCTGATCTACTAATCCTCGTCTTGATGATAGTTCCGCTGCCCTTATTACATCTCCAGACAACACTGCAAGCTTCCAGGCTTCCTCATGACAACCGTTGTTGTTCAATATAGCAAGTGCTGTCTCTGTATTTAAAGCCTTATGTCGATCCGCAAGAAAATGACCGAAGTCCTTCCGAACTTCTTCCTTCCTCTTGATATCCGTTTCAGAAGAGAGTTGGGATGCGTATAGCTGGACCAGCATGGTTGCCATTATTGTTCTTTGCATGGGTCGTGATATGACCGTCTTATCTAATTTTCGCACAAGGTATGTAATGATGTGTCCGGTCATTTCAAGTCGAGGTCCAATACCTAGCTCCCTGAGACCTCCCGACGGTCCTGATCCGGCGCTTCCAGACACTTCACCCCTACCTTGGCCTGAGCAGCCTTCCACAATATCCAAGATTACAGTCTCAATCGGCCGATTAGTCTTTGCGTAAAGCTGCGCAGCAGCATCCCAGTTGCCTTCCGCAGCGGCATGATCTGCTTGCGCTTCTAGGACGGCTTCCCTCGTTTGAAACATGAGCATATCGTCCGGTAAGCCACTCGACACTAGCGGGGCAAGAGCCATAGCTAAGTCGAACCTCCCCATGGCTTTCGCCGCCTTCCACGCTTCGCTCTGTTCCTCATGAGATGCTCTCAATCTCGCGAATTCTCCGTCTTCTGTATAGATCCACAATGAATCTGTAAGAACATCTCTGGCGAACCCTGCTGCTGGTGAAGACAGCATCTGCTCTACATGTGAGGCCGAGTCTCGCCCTACAAACGTTTGCTTTCCAGAATCTCTCCCACGACTAGAACTGGATATTTCGCTTGGCGTTGGACTTCGTCTTGGCGACTCCCACGGCAGTTCGCGTGGGGCTCTCTCGTGACTCGTAAGACGTCCTGACGGACTCCAAACCGTCAATCGTTGTGTTAACTGACCGGATATCTGATTAAACGCGTAGACGCTGCCAGGATAAAGAACAAGGACATGAAACGCAGACAAATTACATGCCAACGGTACAGAAGAACCGCTGCTCTGTTTAAGGCGTTCCCATGAAATGAGTTCTGTATCCTGAACGGTAGCAATAACTGTGGAGCGGTTTGCGGCGGATCCCGTATCGCCAGACTCGCTTAAGAGTGTCTCTTCATTTCGCCGTCTTCTCACTGCAAGCTGAGCGTGAGTAATACCAGCAGACGCGGCCCAAACGAATCTTCTTGAGGCAACACCAGAGTTACCCGTCATAAACTGAAGCTCTGAGGGAAGAACAAACTCACGCTTTTCCCCTGTCGCAGTATCATCTACTGTATCGGAGGCGCGGTTGACAACTGTGATGCGTCCGTCCGAGAAGAGATCTGAATAGGAGAGTGCATCGGAAAATAAATACAGGGCTGAAGTGGTAGCGACGGTGCCAACGTACTTTCCCGCGACCTGCTCTACTCGAATTCCATCAATAGGCTCGCCGTTGGGCGCGACCCAGAGGCGGTGGAGAGCGTCATCCTTCTCGTGCTTATCGTCAATTGTAAGCGAAAATAGAGCCCCAAAAGCTGTACCTAGCAATGCTATGGGTCTCTCAGTGGCTTGCTTATGTTTTTGCGGTGCCCTAATCCACGAAGCGCTGACACATCGCAACCCCCTAAGTTTGGCGAGCCATCTAGGCCTGACGGGACCCGTACCGCTGGCGTGGTAGCCGTCAGCATTCCTCAAGATGATGAGGGCCGCGTGCGTGTAAGGATCGGCGTATATGCGGGTGACGGTATTATCAAGCCTGCCGACGCCAAGCCTTCCGCGAACCTCCTCCTCATGGCCGGAGAGAGTGTCGTGCCGAATGAGACGGCCGCTGGAAGTACCGACCCAGAGGAGCGGGCCGGATACTGCGACAGCGGTCACTACATCGGATGACGCAACGGAGATGCGAACCTTCTCGCGACGCAGGTAAAACACTGCGTCGTTGAGTCCTTCTGAACGGTCGTTAAACACACGCATTTGCTGCAATGGCTCACGGGCGGTGAGAGTCGAAGCGGAGAGGGTGGCGTTCGACATGGCACATCAGTCATGGCCTGTTGGCGGTGTATAGAGGAATTAAAGTAAGTATGCTAGGAAAAGCCGTGAATTGTAGCTGGGCAGTGTGTGCCAAGCCATGCCCGCAACGGGCGCGAGGAAAGCAAGGCAATGTCCACGCTGCAGGGGCAGATGCGGTTGGGTATTGCTCGAGTCAAGTAGTACCGACATGGAGCAAAAGTCGGGGGGCATAGGAAGAAGTGTCGAGTTTTGGGCGTGTCTTATTATCGTCAAATTTATTTATTTTGAATAAAGCAATGCAATACGGTCCACGCACAGTGAGTAGAAAACTTGCAGGCCTGGTGTTTTATTTTAGTATTTAGCCGCACTTTCTGATCGCAGGCAATGCGCTAAGAGCTAATCGAAAGACGGAGGAAAAGGAAGCAAAGCCAACTCGGAAATATCTCGAACGAGTAAACAAGCCGTATTATTGAAGAAATAGAAGTTAGCAATCCGTATTTTCCCCACACTATTTTTTAGGAGAGAGGTGATAGAACCACTTGACTGTTATTCTTGAGTACACTACATCACAGCGCAAACGGTCCGTGATCTCCAGGCTAAAAGACGGGGATGGTACCGTGCTAGACAGGCGAGGTACTCTCGAGGCCCGGCGCCTGACTGCGTGGTGTAACATGACATACAGTACCAATAAGATATGCCATCAATATAGCAAGTGTTCGAAAAGCTCTCAGTTTTAAACTCATTTGCGAACAGGACTTTCCCGGGGAATTCATTTATGTGAAGGAGAATTTAAAGCCCTCTAATGATGAGCTGCTAGCTTGTGCTTCACAGACTTGCGCTACAGAAGAAAGGGTGTGACGGATGGCGGGAAGACGATCTGCCTGTTCCTCTCCAGCTAGACATGCATCAGCAATGCCCAGTTTCAGTAGCCCAGTTTCAGTACCTCAAGTTTTCTCACAGATGACGCTGATACGGTAGGGTATTATATGTTGTTCTCAGTTGCCTGAGGCATTGTAAATCTTCTTGGAAATGGTATGCCGACATGTTAACTCATAGTCACTGATGAATGAGGATGAAATGTAAAATTTGAGTGTAGTATTTCAGTGCTTCTTCGGAAGTACATCATAGCTTATGTCACATATTGCCTGAGTGGAGGAAAAGATAGACGACTTGAGGATCTCAATCTCGTTGGAGAATCTGAAAGATATGCGAAATAAAATGAAGCACTCCATGAGCAAAAAGTAAGGCCGGGTGTCGCCCCCAAATTTGCATTTTAACCCAAAAGTAAAAGGAGTTCTGTAAGTGGAGGGACTGTCATACATTTTGGTTTATTGTTTGTGTTGATTGTTGGCTTCTCAACGTTGACTCGGGTCCAACTTTTTCTATCGCATAAAGCCTGCGCCGTCCTTCGCCTGAGCATAACTGACGCCATCGAACACATTCGGGCAGGGGACAACCTCCGTTTAGACCCAGTGGCTGCCTTTCATGCTTATTTCAGCCTGTCAAAAGGGTACACCCGAGTGTACCCTGATATAACCTACGAGCTCCACTCTGCCTCTACTGCAGCCAGCCGATGTTTTAACCAAAAAAATATATCCGGCGATTGGAATCCACCAATCTGTGGATGGCATGTGTAATCATTCAGGCTTCTCTTACAGTGAATCATACTTCTCCTTGTTTCGATTTTACTTCTGTGGCATTCGTCGCCCCGTCTTGGTACCCATTCTACGCTACAACGGAAGTCCTTGGGGTCTCAGCACGTTGCCGCACCTCGGACACGACTGGTAGTTCTAGGAAAACACCCTCCACGTCGTTTCAAGCTATTTGTTGCTTCTCAACCATTTTTCAGCTCTGGCAGAGTGAACGAAGCCTCCTGCTATCGCCCATAAAACAGCAACAACATTCACAATGGTTTCACTACCGAAACGTATTCTCAAGGTACGTTCGACGCTTTGTCTCTTGTACCACTATCAAGAAAGAGTTGCCACTGTTTTCAAAAGGTGCCAACCGACTTTCTGTTTTCCACTCCTGTCTCGACTCTCGATGGCGTTGGCTTTTCCCTTGCCGTCCTTGCTCACCCAACGTTTTCATGTGGTTACTGGTGCTTTTCGTATGTATGTGATTCCTGCGTAACCTTTGACAGGAAACTGATCGACTTCAGAGCGAGCCAGTCCCGGGCATCAGCGCAGTACCGAGTGACTCGAATGCGAGGCTTTTCTCCGTCGCCATTGCTGGTCCAGAGGAGTCCCCGTATGCTACGGGTCGCTTTAAGCTAGAGCTCTTCCTTCCGGAGGATTATCCTATGGCTCCTCCGAAAGTTCGCTTCCTTACCAGGATTTACCACCCCAACATCGATCGTCTCGGCCGAATCTGCCTTGATATTCTCAAGGATAAGTGGAGCCCTGCCCTGCAAATTCGTACAGTGCTCCTTTCCATCCAGGCCCTTCTCTCTGCTCCTAACCCGGATGACCCACTCAATAATGAAGCCGCCGATTTATGGAAGAGCCAGGAGGCTGTCGCCATGCAAACCGCTAGAGATTGGACAAAGCAACATGCCATGGAGTAGGTCATGAAGAACAACCAGTAGCTCCACGGATACCTGAATGTGTCTATCGCTGGTACGAAGATGTAACCACTAAGTGGGACGCCGGTTCCGCTGTTTCGCCCCAGATTTGAACAACTCGTTTACTTTGCTATTGTTACTGCAGCATGCCCGGATGATATTACTGCCATTTTAACAAGATTGCTGCTTCCCTGCGCCTACCTCCGCCAAATTTGTGCTTAGCCCTATCTCGTCTTATTTCTTTTGTACGCAGCACATGGGACATATCCCTGTGGGTCTCTGGCGGTTCTTATTGGATGCTTTTGAAGCTGCTTTTGAAGCTGCTTTCCAAAGCTGTCTAGAAGCAGTGGCCCCAGCATCCAACTCGCACACGCATAGCTTCACCACAAAAGGAACCCGTACTTTCTGAGGTCGTCTTCAACTCGCTCGCTGGGTTGCAGTGCCAGACCATCCTTTACCAACAGTGTATTTCTCATGATATTCAGTAGCCAAAAATTTAAGCATCGCCATATTCCTTGAAGTTTTCTTCTCCAGAGATTAGTGTAACTGATATCACCTTGTCACCTGGCTCAAGTTGCGCCAGATATTCCCTTCCCTTTCCAGCATATCCAAATGTTGATACACTCCCAGTTAGCGCGCTCCCACCAAAGGATCGTGCTTGGTACGACGTAGGGTCAAGTAGGAAGAAGTAGAATTGACTTGAGGCATCATTTGAATCTTCAACACTATGCACCATGGCCATCGCCCCATACGCAGAGATGGGAAGCGCCGGCTGCAAATCACCAATGCCGAGTTCGTCGAGAGTCCCTCCATACGACGGGGCTGGGTCACCATCTACTAAGATTTCCATTGGAATCTGCCGCCGCCTACCGCTCTTTGGATCTTTGAATCCTTCAATGTCGTCATCCTCGCGCTCACCAAGCTGAGCGAAAAATCCTCTCTGTGACGCGAGGATGCTAGTATTGTTGTAGTACCCCTTCCGGACAATATCGACAAAGTTTCCAGCAGTTAATGGCGCTGAGTACCCATCTAGAGTTGCAGACACCGTCACCTGTTTCCCCAGCGGTGTACTGTCTCTGTTCAGAAACGTTCCGCTGGCGCCCTTCGCCAGCTTGATGTCGATCGTCGCTCTGCCCACAAGACGCGGAAGCCTGCTCCACAATAATTATAGCAAAAAGTGTTAGCACTGGTTGTTTGTCAGAACAAATGATTCGATCCCACAGTCCATATCTGAACACTTACGAGTTGTATCGTCTTGGAATACGGTACGGAAGGCCGTTTCCCTCCACTGCTAACCGTTCTATATCTGCAATATCTTCAAGTGCATCTCTTCTCAACGCGTCTACGTACCCAGCTGACAATCCGTGAAGATGTATGGTGCAAAGAGAAAGTTATCAAACTCATTGTTGTTAGTTCACCGAACAACCCGGGGACAGGCTTATCTAAAAAACCCGTACATATTGAGAGGAAACGCTTACCATCAAAATTGGTTCTCTTCGACATGCTATTTCTGCTCTCGACGACATCTTGAATCGTGTCAGTAACAGCGATGATTTGCTTGGGAAACACCGATGCCGCTCCGAAACCTGGGGAAACGCTGGGTAAACCGAGTTCTCCTTCAATTCGAGCAATATTTTTTTCCATACTAGACAGATACTCTGCTGCTGCAGTGCGTTTCTTCGCCGGAACGCCTAACAAGATGTCCAATCTTTCGTTTAAAAGCAAAGTGCGTAGCTTTGTAAGGTCCCTCCTCCCTGCAATTAACCCTGCGGCGCCTCGAGCGCGGACATCGACACCAAGTCGTTCGAGAAGCTCCTGCGCACGCCGTATAGTAGGAGGGTTTGCCTCTCCAGTTCTTTCAGAGGGCAATGGCAGGGCGTAGCGCAAAATGGCATCCGAATCGGTAGCGACGTACCGTCGCAAAATCGTGTTAGAGGAAAGAACTGTTTTTGGAGATGAAGGCGCAGCGAGAAGAAGCGTCGCGGCTACAGCAGCAGAGAGGGAGAGGGCGGCGGACTTGGCAGGTCTGAGAATACAGGTGGGGGGGTTGGGAGACCTCAAAGGACGTGGACGTGAGCGCTTAAGAGCAGGGGTCGAAGGAGGGAGCGCGAAACACATGGTAAGCGTCATCGTGGGATAGAGATGGCAATGGCAGACCAGGAAGGCGCAATGGTGATGTATGTTTGATCTCTATCTCTATCGAGAATCCGAACACGATGTGCATGTAGAGAGCTGTTGCACAGTGACACTGCTGTCCCTCAGCTCAAAATCTCACGTCCCGGATACTGTACTATGTCTGGTCGGGATTCTTCGTGATGGAATTGAGATGGATATGAGATTTTTTGCGAAAATCCAATTTTCCCCTTTTTGCGCCAAAAGTTTCGGTAATCGTGTATAGAATTGAAATTATTATCAAAAAATTTACCCTAAACGCAAAATCTCCCTTCTTCATTTACCTAACACTGTGTCGGGGCCGATGCTGTGTCGCAGGACAGCAGTCAGCCCCGGAAGTGTAGTATGACAACATTTTCAAATGGTGGTAACTTTATTCAAATTATAGGGGGGCCGGGGGGGGGGGTCATTTTATTCAAATGTGAGGGGGGGCCGATACAGTGTCATACGGGCGGACGTCAAGGATTCACACTTGTGGGGGGCCGGTGGTTCATTTATTTTTCTAACGTTGGCCGATGCTATGACACGAGGCAGGCGTCAAGGACTCACACTTGGGCTGGATGTGAAGGGGCCGCGCCGTGACAGGGCATGCGGGAAAGTGTAGCGGAGGCGACGCTTGACCAGATTGCGAAGCTGAGGCGTTGCTGGAGGTGAAGCTTAGCGGTGCCATACGTAGTCGATTTGCGGCGCGGGATGTGGTGCGCGAGGGTTTCGAGCACGCCATTGGTGCGCTCACTAGGGGCACCGAGCGTGTCAAAGACGAGCGGCGCGAAATACCATTCAAGAGGAGGGAGCGGGGCGTCGGACTGTAAATGGTACGCATCGCGTACAGCGTGTCGTTGAACGGTGTTTTTTGTGCCTCGCGCGAGCTATCGCTCGTACGATCGAGCGATTGGGTAGTCGCGCGGTGGGGAAGACGGGGTGATCCGGCGAATGCCTTCAAGAATAGAGAACGCGCGCCGGCCAATGCCTTTGCTATAGAAGTGTAGCTTGGTGCTTTTACAACTCTAATAAACGTTCTGGCTCGTTGAAAGGGTAGGGTGACTACACTACCATGGCATAAGTATCTCGGCACCACGGGAGCTCACCGGCCGGTGGGGACGGTAGTGTAAGCCCATGTAAGCCCCAGAAACGGACACTCCCTCCCATGGGCGGAAGTGGTGGTGAGCGCTGCAAAAGGATGGAATTACAGAATTGAGATTTCGTGGCATAACGGGTGTCTGTCTTGAGAGTATTATAAAGAGCTGATCTCGAGGCCGAGGTCTTGCGAGTGCAAAGGTCGCTGACACGGAAGGCAAAAAGCGCGGCATGAGTCCTGTGGGAGCAGCGCGCGTTGGGATGCAGAAGTCGCCGGTCGGGAGGGTGGGAAAAAGGAGGAGCCGGAGCCGGCGTGGCGGCGGCCGGCGCCTGCGGCGCGAGGCGCAGAAGCTTGCATCTCTGCAACTTGCGAGCAGACAGGCTGCGACGGAACGAGGAGCAAGGGTGCTGGACGAGGCAGAGGCCGAGGCAAGTGCGGGCACCGGTGGAGAGGAAATGGTGGAAGAAGGGGCGCCAATGAGAGAGGCGGGAGACGGGGTGGAAAATGCAGTAGGGTTGAAGGGCGGAGAAGCAAGTGCAGCAGTAGACGAGAACCAGGGAACAGCGTTCACAGCAGAGTCTGGGGCACTACTGGGGATCGCAGCTGCGGGTTGGCTCTTCCAGGGTACTGTCTACCCTGGACAGGCAGAAATTGCCATCTGCCGTGTATTGCGATCGTGGTCGTTGGCTGGTAGAGGCACTGGTCTTGGGGGATGGCAGTGACGGCAGGAACGCGCTCGTGTTCAGAAGGGGAGTTCCCCACGCATGCGCGCACGCAACAGCATCCGTGGAGGCCTTTCATCCCATAGATTGGGACGTGGAATTATTTTCCTGTGCACGAGAGGGCGAAATAGTCTTGTCCACATACGCGGTATATGGATCACGGTTGGATGGAGGAATGACGGAACGGGAATGGCCCGACTGTGTTATTCCGGCCCGTCGTCGGAGAATGTCAAGGCAGCCTCGTGAAGACGAGGTGGCGAGGCACGTCCTTGAGTTTTTGAGAAAGCACCCGGGGCTGGCTGTAAGGACCTCCGGCATCGGGTGTCGCGGGTCTGTGAACTGGCCGGCAGGAGCGCGGTGCCTGCTTGAAGGACAACCGAGGCGTACTGCCGCTACACATGACTGTGTGAGGGCGGCGTTAGTTAATGCTGTTTTTGCATTACGAGGAGCAGGTGCGGCTGACGAGGTGGAGCGGAGAATTGACGGGGATCCGCGAATCTTCTCGTGCTTCAAACCATTTGGCCTGATCCTTCATGGGGCAAGAGAGGCGTTGATACAATGTCGAGCTGTGCGCGACGGTGAGTCACAACGTGCAACTCAATCAGCAGATAGGGGAGCGGCGTTTAGGGTATTGGCCGCGAAACGGTCCGGCATTTTCATAGTGCGACTTCAGGAAGTGAAACTGGTCGATCATGCCGTGGTTGTGCACGCAGATGCTGGAGTTATCGTAGACTCTACAGAGTCGACTGCAATAGTTCTACTGGAGAAAACCTTGAGCGATGTGGCGGGGAGAAGGTGCAAAGCCTTAGAGTAATGGAGGTAAGAGAGATAAAGGGAAGAGTGTAGGAGGAATATTGGAAAAGCTCTAGTTTCTTATTATCCACTGTTCAGGTTGAATAGCTAATAAACCAGAGCTCACGGCGTGTTTTAGCGCTGTTTGAAACATCGACTTTGTCAATCCGTCGGCGATATTATGGGAACTGCGGACGAAGCCAATATCAGATATAACTTTGTCGCGAAACCCCTCGCGAGCGGCGGCGATGTCGAGCATAGTTTGCTTCTCTGAGGTGCGCGAACCTTTTGAGATCACATCGAAGAGAGACTTGGAGTCTGTGAACAGTTGTACGGGGATCCGGCGGCCGCATATATCGCTCAACTCAGCGGCGAGGGTGGAGGCAACATCAAATAGATCGCTGAATGCGATAACTTCGCCAGCCATAGCGGAACGGACGACTCTTTTCGACTTGTACAACTTGAACTGAATTGGACCAGAGTTGCTAAAACGATCAGCAAGGAATGAAATGTGCCCGAGCTGCGTAGAAAGGTCATGATTGTTTGCAAACGATGCGTCTGCAAATCCGACAACACGCAGCGAGTCGTTGTCGAGCTTTGGGATTTTCAGGGATATTCGATTACATGTCGCGTACTTTGTAGCCTTATTTAGACGACGAACCAGCACGGGTTTCTCTGTGAGGAACCGCTCCTCGGTGACTTGTGCGAGCTGGGAAATTTCAAATTGGCAATCAGGTCGGGTGTTCGCCAGCCATGCAAGGCGCATGCGCATAGATCGAAACTCGGTAAATGAAGCGTCACTGGGGAGTCTCTCCAGCTTCTTAAGGTAGAAATGCTGGTTTTGAACTAAGTTGCCGTCTCTGTCGCGAACAAGGGAGAAACCGCTAAAGGTACATGGTATTGTCTCGTCATCGCCCATCTGGAACCGGGCATTTGTCCATTTTGCCAATTGACGAAATGCGGGTGAGCCGGCGCGAAGAAGATCATCAACGTATCCACCCCTGAGTCCGACCAGGAGTCCATCGGAGACGAGTTTGTAGAGGGCTGGATCGGAACGGAGAGGTGTCATACCCAAATCATTACGGTGGTGGCCGTCAATGGTCTTGTGCCATAAGTCACCGGAATCGCAGAGTCCGTAAAGGGGCTTCAACAGTTTGAGACACTGCTCCGGTTGGAGCTCGAACTCTGGTACGGGCTTTGTGATGAATAGCTCACGTGACAGTGTTTCAGCAGATTGGAGGTACGCCTGACGTACATCGGCAGTCCAGATCTGGAATCCATGAATGGCGGCAAGGGCTAGGAGGAGTCTGATGGACTGTGGCTGGAGGGTCGCTGCTGTGTGCACCATGAGGTCCTTCATGCGGTCACGATGTCCTCCGATGACGTAACGTGCCTTGAATTTCACCTGGCCATCTTCGGTGGACTTGATGGCCAAGACGAAGCGACCGGGTAGGACGTTTGCGTCCTTTGGAACCTCTTCCCGTAGTATAATGCTGAAGGTACCACGTTCCAGTAATCCCTTTATTTCGTCGCGCTTAGCTTGAGACATCTTTACCGACGAAGCCCGGGGATCTCTAGGGTCAATGATCTCTGTCAGATGAACCGAGTATTCATCTTCGTCGGGAGAATTGAAGTGCTTGAAAGCGCGGCAGATGTCGGAGAACAGGGAATGGGCGACAACGGATGGGGGAATGTAGCGCTTCACCTGCGCTACGTTGAAAGGAGGGGCGGCGCCGATCGTCACATCTTGTATATATACGAGTTTTTTGGTGGAATCCATAGCGAGAACCGTAAATGGTCCGAGCCATTCACCGATACGGTGATTCACGACCTTCTCGCGCCATACTAGGACCTTGTCCCCCGGGTCGTAAGCGCGGTCGGCTGCTGACGGAACGGAATGCCGCAGGGCCCTGAATATACGCATCTTTGCCATGATGCGTTGCATCTCAGTGCGGGCTTCGTGAACCATTTCGGCCCGTTCGGCCAGTTTGTCTCGGGTCTTCGGGGTTTCTGATGGGGTGTATACTCTCGGCACTTCCCCGAATACGAGGGATGACTGAACGAGACCTTCGGGACCTAATGTGTCGTTCATTGCTTTGACCGCCAATTGAAGGAGAAGCTCTTTGTCTACGTTGGGGTAGTCAATCCTCATCTTCCGGAAGGTAGTGCAGACGGGCTCGTGGTACCGTTCACCAATTCCTAGGCTTGAATGCGCCTCTATGCCAGTACCTTGGACTTCGACATTGGCTCGTGCTGCTAGAGAGATAAAAGGTTCGCTTTTCCCGAGGTTGCTGCCCTTGTCGACTAGTATTCTGTTCGGGAGGCCAGTATAAATCGAAGCCCAGTAACGTAAGAGTGCGTCCCAG